CATCTTGTCCGCCTTCGTCCGCTCCACCCTCCTTTTTAGCTCGGTTTCCCTTGCCGCTTTTGCGGGTCGGCGTGCAGCGTGAAGGAGCCAATGCCAGCACTGGGTCTAGTACACTTCAGTGCTCTTGGGCAGCGATCTCTGCGCCCCACGTGGAATGTGTGCCCCTGGGGGTTAGGCCGTTAACTTAAACTCTTCTGGATGCATAGATGTAACATGATCGTACTGTAGCTTATCTGTACCCCTGTTGTAAGAGGTAACGTTGGACCGCGGGTAGTACTCGGCTGGTAGTAGTTAGTTGTATACAACAGGTAGGATGATTGACTTGTATTTTGCAGGGGCTCCCCACTAGCTCGCAGAGGGTAGCACCTACCTCATGTAAGGGAAGTAACTCAATTGGGCAAGGTCCGTTGTAGAGTCACAGTTGGCTAGTGAGTGAGTGGGTGGGTTGGGTGTCAAGAGGAAGCCATGCAGGTAGTAGAATGTTTAGAGCAGGAAGAAATAGGGTTCATACCTTAGCCGTCAGGCTCCAATGAAATCCGCGTATCCAAAGATCGATGACAGAATATCGTGTCTGCTCCTGACGAAGCACCTTGGGCAAAAAGACTACGGATGTTGTTCACAGTACCAGAATACAAAGGAAAAGGAGGAAAGAGAGAAAGAGAGAGGTAATTACATAAGGATCTCTTACTTTGCCTTTAGCTTTTCAGTGAGCAGTGATTCGCGAGCTTGCATCAACAGTGTTTCAGGGGCATAGTTGGATGTCAAGGGAAAAGTCCACCACAACTGATTCTTCTCAGAACATCGGAAGCGAGTAAAATCTTAGACCGGCAAGCCCTTTGGGATTCCCGAAGAATATCAAGACTTCATTGTAACTTTGTAGAAACAAATGCATGCCCTGTCTGCCCAACCACGCGTGCTCTACTGCTAATGATCGGTAATCTCCACAAGGGGGGTGCACGTCCCATTCTCAGGTAGCGAACTTTGTTGCAAAGGGGAAGCCTGTCTCAGCCTTGAACGAGTTACAATTCTCAATATAGTATCCTTCCGGTCATGATGAAACTCAAGTGACCCCCCAATCAAGCAGGCACAGACAAATTGGAATGTGGAACCTGAGTCTGATGCTTCTATTAGCTTGAATCTATTCATGCGCCGCGATATACAACAAGAAAAGAACCAACAGGAATGCGTGGCTACAAGAGAAGGACTCACCAATAGCGCGTATTGAATTTCATCTTCACAGATTGGAGATCCTTCCAGGGATCCTCTATGAAGCAAGGCTGAAAGTATGTCACACACTTCGACCCCGGATCTTCAATGCCATTCGACAATTTAGCTAGTTCGTGGTCGGAGAGATGAGTTCCGTTAGGGGCTGTATACCCTCCTTGTTTAACGGGTTTCGAGCTCGGAGCCTGATGCTTTGCTAAGACGGTGGCGTCACTCTCAATGTTGCCATACTCGCTTAGGTTTCCTGGCGCCCAATCCTCCATTTTACTGTGTTCCTGCTGGGAGGGTTGTTTCTTAAGGATGCGCTTTGGTGTGTAATGGGAAGGCATGGCGACGGTCTCGATCTTCTTAAGCCTTGTCTCGTGGGATCTAGTCTTGTTTCTGGATTAGCCACAAGATAAGTGACTTTGACTCAGGACAGGTTTATGCAAAAGGAGAAGAATGTGTGCCTCGTTCATTTGTTTGTGGGAGGTTTGAGCTCCAGATGATTGCGAGTGAATGTACGGAATACAGTACGCGGGAACACGGTATGGGTCACATTATATTAAGGTACTTCGTTTCCTTGCCAATCTTGCTAAGTACAAATACTATTCTACTAATACAGTCACATACTTGGGTATCCAACAGCTAAAGGACCTCCACTTCATCTGAGAACAAGTCTTGTGAGAGAAAGAGAAAGCCTCAGTGGAAACTGCGCTCTTCCTCAATAGCCCTGTCAATAACACGCACGAACCGTTCAACCTTATCGGCATCCTGCTTGGCAGTCTCAATGCCCAACAGCACTTTCTTGACACCGACACCAATGTCTTTCTCTTCAGGGGCCTTATCGGCCTGGTCGATACCCCCAATCGCTCCTAATACCTGGGCAATTTCCTGGTCATCAAACGCCTCCGACTGTTTCATGATGTACTCCAATTCGGCACACGTCATGACATTGGGGACCATGATATCAGAATTGAATGAGTTGTATACATCCAGCTGTTTCAGTACAGCTCTCTGGGTTGTAGTTGCCAGAACCAACAATCGCCGCTCCTTGGTCGGCTGCTTTCTCAAAAAGACCATTAATGTCTGTAAAACAGTATTGCTAAACCGAGGACCGATTGGGACCCAATCAATGATTCTTTCAATGTTATCGACGACCACCACACTGGTACGACTCTTGTAAGCGTCATCGAATATCTTGCTGATATATTGAACCTTAGCCATTTCGCTAAAGCCGACCATATCTTCAGGGCTGATCAGCTTGATAAAGGGGAAACCAGAGTCGATGGCAATCCGCGCTGCGAGCGCAGTCTTTCCTGATGCAGTTGGACCGTGCAACAAGACGGAGAACAAAGGCGTCGATTCCCCGACCTGCTTCACAAAGAGCTGACCCTCTCTTAAAATTTCGTTAATCTGATCGGAGTAATGGATGATGCCGTACTGAATACGGCTCGAGAGTTCCTCCTCTGACACACCAAACGCAGGCTTAACTTCGTCAAGAGCATTGTGGAAGTCACCTCGGTTGACTTTCATGTTTACCACGTCATCGCTGATACCAGCCATTGTTCCGACCTTGACATGGCGGGAAAAGGCGAATGAGGACGCGGATTTGACAAGTCCTGCAATCTCGGCACCTGAAAAGTTCTTGGTCATCGATGCCAACTCGGATAGATTAACATCCACATCCATCACGTTGTTGACCCTCATCTTCTCGGTATGAATCTTGAGAATTTGAGCTCGGCCCTTTTCATCCGGAAGTGAAATTTCCATATGGACCTCAAGACGACCAGGTCGCAGTAGCGCATCATCGATCATATCCTTCCTATTAGTCATACCAATAAGGAGGATGTTGTTAAGTTGGTCGACACCATCTAGCTTTGATAGCAGTTGGTTCACCACACTATCACCTACACCTGTGCCACCGCCTGCTCCACTACCACGCTGCTTACAAACAGCATCAAGTTCATCAAAGATGATGATGTGAAGCCCACTTTCGTCGCCTTTCTCCTTGTACTCAGCCTCAGCATCTGCAAAAAGCTTTCGAATATTTTCCTCTGACTGGCCGACATATTTATTCAGCACTTCAGGACCGTTGATGATCTTTGGTTCCCTTGCGTTTAACATCTTGCCGATTTGCCGGGCAATCAATGTTTTACCAGTTCCTGGAGGGCCATAAAGTAGCATACCCTTTACATGCTGGATACCTAGCTTCTCAACTAAGCCTGGAGGGAAAATGCGAGACGCAAATGCACGGCGGAAGATTGTGCTAAACTCTGCATCAAGACCTCCAATACCCATGTTCTCGAATTTGAAGTCAGGCTGAATGATAGAGTTGGCCGCTGGTCGACGGTTCGACGCCTTCAAATTGATACCAGTGCGGGCATCCTTGAAAAAGTTGATCTGGGAATGCCTTGTGAGTATTCCCCTAGCGCTAGGGTCGGTCTCTACATGGCCGCTGGAGAGATCAGCTTTCTCGGAGCTCAGGTCGACACGTTGAACAGTTTTGACCGTTAGTATAAGAGGAATGCTTCTATGGTCCATTAGAATCTTCTGGCCGGGGGCAAATATTTGGTTTTCAAAGTTCTGTCTCAGTTAGTCTACCAAATTTAGTTAGTTCGAGTTTACTGGGGAGCTACCTTGACCACAACACTACCCAACTCGTCTTGGTCGTAGGGAGTTTCGACTCTCTTCTTTCCAGCAAAACCTATTTCAATATCCGTAGAACCGATATATGCCTGCCCGCCTTGACTAAACGGATCGTAAATCTGTACATTGACAGAGTCTGTGAAAGCAACTCCAGCCCACGTCCGCTGAGGATCCGACATGCTGATATGACCCGGCGGAAATCCATCATACGGGCGCGCGGAAAATACATATAGATCGTTCACAAGAAGGAAAAGGTCGAGCCCATCGCGCGTGGGCGGGAAATCCTGCGGCGAAACTGCAACTCTAGATCATGTCAACCGTCCGTCGCCCGAGAGCTCAAGAGCTGAGCTTACAAGTTACCAAAGGTGTAATTATTATCGGGACTCTTCGCGGGGCGCAAGGTCCAGGTTCTCCCTGAGCTTCCTCCAACCGGGGCTCTCGGGGGCATTTGTGGCGGTTGACTAGGCCTTCCCATCGGTGCTCCATGTCCCCTTGAAATATTATAAACGTCAGTCATCAAAGTGTCATAGCCGGGCGGATGAGAGCGGTCTTCATACCCTACACCACCCGTAGGCGCAGGGTTAGTGTTGTATTCTCTTCGTGGATACGGAGGAGGTCCCTGGCCCGGGTTGGGGCTTGAATAGCCGTCCTCGCGAGCGGGCCTGGAGCCGAAAGGCATAGAAAAGTTGTTACGGTTAAACATCTTGCTTCATATGATCGTAGATAGACCAGGAGAAGACGAAGGCGCGTATAACGATATGTGATGACCGTCTAAGAGTGAGATATTATGAAGAAGTGAAGCTCTTATAAGCAAACAGGTTAACGCTGCCGGCAGCTTTCACGTTAAACAGAGACAAGGATATTAGTCTGATCACCTGAGTATATAGGTACTAGACCGCGAGTACTTCAATTAAAATAATTAGCAGAGATAATAGTGAGATGTAAAGAAGTGGCGGCGGGACGAGGCGTTGGGACAGGCTGGACTCTATCAGTACCTCCTTGACTCTCATTGGCCGCACCGGCCCGCCAATCTCCGTTTCTGCCGATGGTTGCTCTCCGCCTTCCTTATCGTTGTTTTTACGATCAACAAATGGCTTCTCACATGCTACTATGCTTTAATAGCTAGTATTCTATGCATTCCACTCAAAATGCCTCTGTCAGTATTTCCCGTGCTCTTTCGCTCTTTTTTACTAATTGCATCCAGTCACCTTTTAGGTAAGAAGTCATGGAACGTTTACAACCCGGAGAACATTGCCCGCGTCCGTCGCGATGAGGCACAGGCGCAGGCCCGAGAGGAGGAACAAGAGCGTCGCATGCAAGAAGTTGATGCCGAACGAAGAATACAAATCCTTCGTGGCGAACGACCATCCACCCCACCACCTCCCCCACGGTCTCCGTCGCCGGTCTCCCGACATGATAGGAAGAGTTATGCAGAGGATACTGCAAGGTTCAGAAAGAGAAGACGTTTAGCTGGCGAAAATGATACGGATCGCGATATCCGATTTGCTCAAGAGGATGCACAGATTGCGCTGGCGAAACGAGAGGAACTTGCTTCCACTCGATCTAGCGATGCGCCGCTTTACGATAGTGCTGGACATATTGACCTGTTCCCTTCCCAACCGTCACATAAACATACGGAGAAGAACCCAGAAGCCGAAAAGGAATCTGCCGAGAGGCAAAAGGCATATGAAGATCAATACACAATGCGGTTCTCTAATGCGGCGGGGTTCCGTCAATCTGTCGGCCAGAAACCCTGGTATTCATCTTCAGGAACTGAAGCCATGGCTCCAGACTCCATTTCCGGGAAAGATGTCTGGGGGAATGAGGATCCCATGAGAAGAGAGAGGGAAAAGGCTCGGATTGATGCCAACGATCCACTTGCGGCGATGAAGAAAGGTGTCCGCCAGCTAAAGTCGGTTGAGCATGAAAGGAGGAAGTGGGACGAAGAAAGGAAACGAGAATTGGAAGCTTTGAAGTTGGAAGAAAAACATCGGTCGCGCCATCGCAGGCGAAGGTCAAAGTCGGCAGATAGTCTTGAGAATTTCCAGCTCGATGCTTCACAGGACAGAGATCGAGGAGCACATCGTCATCATCGCCATGGCCGTGACACAAGCCGAGATCGCTCGCATAAGAGAAAATCTCACTCGGATGGATATTCGCACCGTCGTCACCATCATCGTCATCATCGTACTGATCGCAGCCGTAGTCGGAGCGACCATAACAGACGCTAACATCGCGTATAATACGACCTAAGGCACAGATGAAGATTCGACATGGAAGCTCTCCTTTTCTTTTCCCCTTTCTTTTTCATTTTCGGTCATTATTTATGATTACATCCTACAATTGTGATACCCGCCAGATGGCATATGAATGATGGATTACTTTTCTAATAGCTGTCTATCAAACGAGCCTTTCTAGATGCCGTATAGTAGCAGAACGCATGAACTAAGCCAAAAGGCAAAGCAAAACTTTTTGGTCGAAGTCCCTCACTGCAAACTCCATTCCTGGGTGCCCTTTTCAGCCTCTTGAACATTCCATTCGATGGAGATATCCAGAGACCGCGATTCCTTTGATTTCTTTTGGTAGCCAACTTTTCCGGTAATCGTCTGACCTTTCTTCAAAGGAAGGGCTTTCTTCTTTCCATGGTCGATGAGGAGGATGCCTTGTTGCCAATGAGTTTCCGGGCCATAAGGGCCGGTAGTGAAAGCAACAAAGCCTTTCTTTTGCATTTCCGAAGGGATGGCATCGTCCGAAATAGGGGAATCTCTGGAGGGCATAAAGAATATGTCAAACCAAATAGCCCAGCCATCAAGCGAGTCAATGTCGTCTTTCAAGGTAACCTGGAACTCCTTCAAGAAAGACAGTTCCTCGACTGTGATTGTATGCAGTGGGAGTGGTAAGAAAACAGAAGAGTCTCCAGGGATAGTCGATGGTTGCACGTGACGGACAAGCGCTTCATCGTATATACCCGTGAGCATGCTCCGCATGTTGAAACCGTAGACATCATTCCAAAACGAGATATGGGAGGCAATGAAGTCAGGGTCGGCAAAAGGAGCAATACGCAGTGTAGCATGCGACGGGACCATCAATCCATCAGGTGCCAGATAACGATCCCTGGCATAGATGACGGAATCAAACATGGCTTCAAACAGAAGGCAATAGCCCATCCATTCGGACACGATGATATCGACTTGCGGAACGGGCAGAGTGACTTCTTCAATCTTGCCACGGATGCATCTGAAAGCCAAAGCGTTAGTAACGAGGTAGTCGAACGAGTACTACAATCACTTACGTTATCACATCCCCAAAGCCATTCTCGTGAATGATCTCCTTTGCCCTATCAATGATGTTTGAGTTGTCCACCGAAATGACTTTCCGGGCACCTGCTTTAGCGCAGAACATTGACAGGATTCCTGTGCCGCATCCAACGTCCAGAACAACCTTATCCTTAAACAGATGCTTGTTCTCATAGATAAAGTCGCGGTAACCATCAGTACGAATAGCGTCTTTCAACATAGATTCGTGAATGCCTGTAGAAAAGTATCCTGTCAGCAAACGTATCCATTGAATATTTGCACGAAGTATTAGGGCCAGCATACCATTGTAGGAATAGGATGAGAAGTAGTCGGAATCAATTGCCTCAGCTTTGCTAGTAGATCGTTGGGCCGAGGAAGCAGACGAGGTAAGTTTTTCATCCTCCTTTGATAACTGCTCTTCCAACGACTTCTGGACGGCAATTCTGTACTCAGAGAACTGACTCTGCAGACGTTCCAAGTCCTCCTGAAGCTCAGTTACGCGCCTCTCTGCCTCAGTACCACCGGGAACCTCCGAGTCTTGGTCTTCGATGTCGTCCAAGCTATACAGAAGGGCGTCATCCTCAAGCACGGGCTTCAGATAAACCTCGTCTTCGAAGTTGGATTTGGAAGACACGTCGGGAGACAGATTTCCAGCTTTGACTTGAGAGCGAATATAGTTCACCAGCTTTATAGTACCCAGGAAATCCAGATCTGCAAGCGCAAGGCAACGAAAAAGAGAGGAAGAAAGGTTAGCCGATAAAACATATTGCGATCGTTCAAACATAAATCAACCGGGCCTGAGCAGCGGAAGAAATACTCAAACGGTATAAACCAATTCAATCGATTAAGTACACACCGAGCTCTTTTTGTGTCCTTCGCAGGTCGAAGTTGTACTTGTCCTTGGTCTCCTGTAGCATGGAAAGCACATTGGGATAGACCTTCTCGGAGAACAGGCCAACCACCGGCTGGGTCTCATCGTCAGGTTCAACGTCCTCCCATCCTTCCTCATTGCTGATGTCAGAGTCCTCGGAATGTGTAGAGCAGGAGTCATCATCCTTTGGAGGACGGTCAGAGGGAATCGAAGCCGACATGGTGACAATTGCGGGGTAGGCAGACAAGTCAATTGATGAGAATTATAAAACCACAAAGTTCGATTGAGGCAAGAGAACCACAATTTCTAATTGGTTATTGAAACCTGTAAAAACCGCAATTAAAACTGCAAGGATGTATGCTCTGAGAAGGTTTTCAGAGTAAGGACATGAATTTGTAAAAGAGGAAATCCAGGGCCCCTCTTTACCCAACAAGAAAAAAAA